TTCATCAGGCAAATACGCAAATGAGCAAAATCAAGGCTGGAAAATGACGAAAATCTTGTGCGAAATATATGCACCGAAACCTGTAAGGTTTTGACTACCGAAAAGAGATCGATCTTCAGCCTGCCAGTAGGACTATTAACGGGGCATCGACTCTTGCCTTCAGACTTAGGAAGGTGTGAGATATTAAGCAGGTCTTTATCCCATTTAGTCGCAATTTTGAGGAAGCCACTGTATAAGCAAAAAAAAACAAAAACAAAAACAAATATTCTCTCTATTTAACAAGTTTAAATTATGAATTTCTTTCCAATTGCAAACTTAATGACTTTGGCTCGCTCTGATCTTCTTGCACTTCCAAATTCTCCATTTGAATTTCAAAAATGTTTGAATTCATTCAAAATTTACATGCCAACAAATTTACAAACCATAAGCAACAACAACAACCACATGAAACGACAGGAAGTAGACACTTGCAAAGAGCTAAGCAAATGAATACCAACAACAACTGACATATTTTTTTTGGTTTCTTTATTTGGTTTTTTTTCTGTGAAGTGAGTTTGCGAAATACAAAAAGAAAAATCTGAAATATGGTAACAAAAATCAAACAGGAAAACAATAAACAAATAACAGTGAGTCAAATACTTGACAACAACAACTTAATTATTTTGTATTGAGGTTGCGTATACGCCATGACACCCTCCGCACAGGCTAAATGCAATAACGTATATACATATATACATACATACATACAATGGTAAGCAAAGCTACAACAGCGTTATGATAATGTATGCAATACTTGATACATATATATGTTTGTACGTCGTTTTATGTATGTACGTCTATCAGTTATTTATATTGATGGTGGTAAGCTGTGCGGAGATTAGGGAAATTTTAAGAGGAGATTTCGTGAGTGCATTTGACCTCTTTGCGGGAATCGAATATGTGTATGTATGTATATACAAACGTACACACTCGTCTAGGCATAAATTAGATAAAATTAAGTTTATAGATATGTATGTAGATTGCAGGCAAATTAATATTATTTTAAGTTGAACTATATTTCATGGCTAGCAATATTTCATGTTTAGCAATATCTTCGGTTTGTTAATATATTTTCCCCAAAAATATTTTATGTTTAACAAAAGTTTATTATGCATTTTTTTATATTCAGCAATATTTTACCTTAAGCAATATTTTATGTTAAGCAATATTTTATGTTTAACAAAATTTTATGGTTATCAATTAATTATGTTTATGGAATTTCGTATATTTAGAAAATTTGTATGCTTGCAATATTTTATGTTTATCAATATTTTATGTTTAGCAATATTTTATGTTTAGCAATATTTTATTTTTAGCATTATTTTATGCTCAAAATATTATATGATTTGGAATAATCCATTTTAGGCAATTTTATATAATTTATATATTTAGCCACTTTTTATGTTTAGCAATATTTGTTGTTTAGCAATATTTTATAATTGAGATAATTTTATATATGGAATTATATTTTATTTTTGGCAATATTTTATATTTTAGCAATAATTTATGTACAAAAATGTGTTATGTTTAGCATTAATCCATGTTTAACAATATTTATGTTAACAAAATTTTATGGTTTGTTAAACAATATTTTATATGAAAAATATTTTATGTTTAGCAATATTTTATATGTAGGCTCAATTCATGTTTAACAATATTTCGTGTTAGCAACATTTAATGGTTAGCAATATTTTATGTTTAGAAATATCTCATATTTTATAATTAATTTTATAATTAATTTTATACCAAATATTTTATGTCTAGAAATAATTTTTGCGTAACCAGAATTTTCTGTTATTTTATGTTCATGGCTTGTTTAATTTACTTTATATCCAATTTCAATTTATATTATATTAACCAGTATTCGATATCTTACTACTTCTTTATTTAGCAATATTTCTAGTTCCCCATTTTTTTTGCTTAGCAATGCATACTTCTTTATTTTATGTTCAAGCAACTTTCATGTTTACTAAAAATTTATGTCAAACCTTATTTAATGGGCAGCAATATATTATGTTCAGCGTTTTTTTAATGTCTAACACTACTGAACATTGAGCAGCATTTTTTTATGTCTAGCCATAATTTATGTTTGGCAATAATTGATGTTAGTAAATTTTATGCTAAAACACTTTTCGGTTAAAAAAATACTTTTTCATAATTTTTGTTTAGCAATAAATTTTACCAATTAAAATTTATGTTTAGCAATATTTTATGTTTAGAAAATTTTATTTTATTTTAAGAAAATTTTATATGATCTTTAGAAAATTTTATTTTATATGATAGTAAGCAGCAATTATTTTTTGTGCAGCCATAATTTTTGGTATAACATAAAGTTGATTTTTAGCAAAATTATTTATTTTAATAATTATCAATATGCATACATAGCCACATACATACATACATATATAAGTATATACAAAAATAAATATTTATAAAAATTAATAACAGTGGTTTTTTATTTAGAATTTTGGTTAGTGTTTTTTTCCAATCCCTCCTAAGGGTGAAATTTAGTTCTCCACAAGACCGCCATGATTCTATGCAATATTTCTTCAATAGTGCGTCTATACGATTTAATGCGTCTACACAGCCATATGCATTGTTGATACACTTAAATATGTGTGTATGCGTCTATTTTCCAGTGTATGGCCCTGTTGTTGAAGTATTCATCAGTGATTTGCTTTCAAATTGTGTCACATTGAGGTTTACAATGCGGATATGTCCACATTAAAATATTTGTACATGTGTACATATGAACACGCAATTCTGCGTAATATATAAATTGATTTTTAATGATGTTACGTATACGACTCGTACGTCACACGTCATGGATATCAAGAGTGCAAATTATAATGGAAAAAGAGCGATTTCAAACATTATCACGACTTCTTTTAAATGGAAAGCGGTAATGATTGATTGAATTAGAACAGAAATCGATGTAGTTAAAGAAATGAATGTCATTCATATATGACTGATTACATGCTCCTTTGCAGTTAATTAATTAACAGCTTAATAAAAATAATACTCACTTTAATAGAGTTACACAATTCAACGCGTCGAGCCTTTGGTCTCGCTTAAAAAGGATGAAGCTTCAGTGGAGCCAGTCTAACATTTGGTTTAAGGGTTCACTAAATGCTAATAGCCATCTCGGTTCATCGAAGGTGCGTATCCGATGCGGTCTCGACCTTAAAGCAAGTGCCATACTATATACATTTTGCCCAATTAGTTACCCATGTTGGTTGTGCACTGGTTTAAGGCGCCGCCACATAAAAACTCTGTATATTTATATAATTGGTGAGTTCTAATCGCCGAGAATAGATTTGCTCCTCCAATTTGTGGTGTGAAGGGACTTACAATTTGTCATAAGCCAGCAGTGAACGGCTGATGAATTTTTATGAGCAGCTTTTTTATCTCATACCATAAATACACTCAGAAGGGTTAATTTTCACTGCCGATGGGCGACGATAATTAGAAAAATTAATTTTCTCTAAAAATTTTGCATAATCGGTCAAGCTGCGATTCGCGACTGCTACGCTAATCGGATGGCAGTTAAGAGTCTATCCTTTTGCCAAGAGATTAGACCCACGGCATCACAGCGTGGTAACCCAACAATGCTACCTGGATGGAACTCACCCACGCCTGTTCTTTGCAATATTCGACGGGTCATCTTGCAGCAATGATCAGACTCCGCCGATGATGTTACCATATTCCCCACCACACCAACCCCTAGTGAGAACTTCCTCGAGCAGGTACCCCTATTGCAGAGGTTTTTTCAACATCTAACGGTGTCTAACTATAAACTGGTTACTTGGTTAGTTAAAGTGGTTACCGGGCATCAGCTCTCTTAGGCCCCAAACAGGTCCGATGCGGATCCTAATGGCCCTCACCAGCGCTAATTAAACCAATATTTAGAGTTTGAAAAACTGAGCATTCGTAACTTTTGCAGTAGTCGTTAAATGGTACAGCCAATATCTCTGCCTGCCTGTCTAATAGAATATGGCCCATAAGAAAGCCTATAACTATAGATCTCTAAATTCTTTTTTTAGCTCGATAATATTACGTCAAAACCAGCAACCAAAGATACAAGAAAATAATAGAAATTTTGGTAGATTTCTAACACGATGAGCTCTACTCCTGGAGTTTGGTAGAATACCTCTCACCGTTTCATCTTCAATTCCTTGTTCTGCTTGACTATTATCTGTAGAAATTACTCCGTTGGCAGTTCGACCAATCTACCACTGATAAAGATATGTATCTACAGGAGCTTGTGCACATATTCATCACGTACAAGTGGTCTCATAGCTTTGAAAGACAAGACATCATAGACAGAGTTTACTACAAGTATAAACACCAGGTTTTTTAAAAAATCCCGTCTTCAATATAAAATCCATAATACGGTGACTAAACTCCGCCTCCAGTAAGGTCTGCTGCTCAGTTGATATAAAGACCATAAAGACTAAGGGACGGGTCCCCTACACGGCTCTCTCTACGCCTTCAATAGCAGCGCTCCTCTTACTGTTTCTTGATAGGGTAGGAGCGGGTTTTCTGTTTTTTTTACCTCGGCTTAGCTTCCTCAACAGTACGGAAGCCCTTTCCGGTTTCTGTTGGCTTTAAATTTACTTTTAGGATATTCCCTCTAGCAATTTGATCGGTTTCAGCTAGCAATAGCCGCCAGACCTCTTCCCCATTCCTGTTTATTCTTGTGAGCTTGACGTTCGTGGTTAAAATACTTCTATATACAAACACTTTACTTACACCCAACACTTAAGCCATTTCAACAGTACAGAAGCTTCTATTGTAAGCATCTACTGACAAGCCAACTTGTTGACACTCCGCATTTACGCATATAATTGAACTCATTTAACGCCAATAGTTTTGCTCCTCTTTTTCTAGTCTTTTTTTAAAACATTACTCTTTTCTTTCTCTTTTCTCTGCCTCTCCACACTGTGTACACCCCGTTACAGTTGGCTACACGACAGCGGATGTTGTTTATCGTTGGAATCGCGAGCGACCAGCTGTGGCCATTGCCGAGGATATGAAATTGTCACAATTCGATTTGGTCGATTGTCCGGCGGGCAACCTCACCGATGTGATCTATAAAGCAGCCGCACCGCACGATGCGACGCACAGCAGCAGTCAACCGGGTGGTAGAGTGCGCATAAATAGCAATAGCAATAGCAAACATAACAACAACAACAACAACAATTATTATAACAATAAAAATGCCGCAAGCAATTTCAATCAAAATCGTTACAATCAGAAATATGGCAGTAAATCGTTGAACACATTTGCCGGACCCGGCGCGAAGAATCAGCATGTGCGCGGCACGGGATTGCAGTTGGACAAAGGTGCCTTTGGAGGTGGGAGTGGTGGTGCCGCTGGTGGTGTTGATGGAGATGTTGGTGGTGGTGGTGGTGGTGTTGGTGGTGTGGGTGTTGGTGCGGGACGTGGTGGTTTGGGGGTTGGTGGTGCCAGTGGCGCTGGCTATGACGGCCGAGGTGGTGGTGGTTTCGGTGTTGCTTATGGTGGTATTAGTATCGATGCGTCGGGTTCAGTGCGTTTCGAGTCGAGTCGGGCGTGTAAGTACGAGTAATCAGTTGATTGATTTAATTATTTATTTTGACTTTTTGTTGTGGGGATAATTTCATTTACAATTTTTTTTACTTTGTTTACCGTTATTTATGATTGCTCATATGTCATGTAGGTCAACTAGCGAATGAGTCTATGTGATTTAGTTGCGAGTGTTAGTGATAATCAAGATCATACAAATAGCTAAGCGCATTGAACCACTACAGTGATTAATTTGCACCAACAACAACAATGTAAATATTTTGCAAAAAAAAAAATTAAATAATAATTAATTTTTGTGCACTTTATTTCATGCCATTAAACTTGATTTTTTCTCTCTTTCTCTCCTCTTCCACCTCTCCTCTTCTCGCCGCCGCACCCAACAGCTGAGTACTCCATGCTCATGGTGAATTTCCATTTGCAACGTCACATGGGTAACTTCCTCATACAAGTATACGGTCCTTGCTGTCTGCTAGTCGTACTCTCATGGGTCTCATTTTGGTTGAATCGCGAGGCTACCGCTGATCGGGTTTCACTTGGCATTACCACCGTACTAACAATGACCTTCCTCGGCTTGGAGGCGCGCACTGATCTGCCGAAGGTACCGTACCTTACCGCACTGGATTTCTTCGTGTTCCTCTCGTTCGCCTTCATCTTTGCCACAATACTTCAATTTGCGGTCGTCCATTATTTCACCAAATATGGTTCGGGTGAATGTTATTTCATTATCGAGGAAATGGATTCGGATACCGAGTCGGAGGCGGATGCGCGCACACTGAAGAGTGACTTTAACGTCAGCACCGAGTCGAAATTATATGAAGTCATACCGTTGTCGATGTGTTCAATACCAATACATGGTGCCGGCAAGGGTTCAGCATCGGCGAGCAGCAGTGGTATTGGTGTGGGCATTGGTACGCGTACACGTCGAAATTCGGCCACCAAACGGCGTATATTGAGTGGTGGTCGTCGGTATAGCTTTAGCTGTTTCGGCTGGTCGTGTTTCCGGCGCAGAAAACGTGGTCGTGTTGGTTTCGATATCTCCGATGAGGATGATGAGGAGGCCCATCTGCGTGCGGGTGAAGGTAAGGAAGGTTTGGAGGTAAAACTTTCAAGCGCTAGCCGTATATTTTAGAACAGTTTGAAAACATAAGCATTCGTTCCTCAAGTGAAGATGTAAATTTTTCTTTGAGTTCGTAGCTCAGCGGAATAATATACTTATCCCTCACCGATCTCTCTCTCTCTCTCTATCTCTTTTCATCTTTTAGAACCCACACCACATCGCGGTTCCGGCAAACGACGTATGTCTTTCTATCGTCGCGAGGAATTGGAGGCGCGCCGCAAGGGCAAGCGTGTGCCACAATATAATTCCGTATCGAAAATAGATCGAGCATCACGCATTGTCTTTCCCATGCTCTTTTTGGTTATCAATGTCTTCTACTGGTACGGCTACTTGTCGCGCAGCTCACGTATATTGGCGAATACGCCGTCGACCACCTGATGTTACCTTTTAGCAATTTAGATCAAGTCCGAGAAGAAATCAAACGTTGGGCAATGTTGGCGGTGTGCGAGACGCAACAAAATTTAAAGAGTTTTAAAATAAAAATAAAAATGAATACTATGGAATTTACAACAATTTGATTAGAAAAAGGATTAGGACTTAAAATTTGTAAAACAAAAGCTGCCGTTCAAATTAGAATAAGTACACAAATTTTACGAAACAGAAAAAACTACACAAATTTAGGTATGAATTATCCAGAGTAAATAGATTTTCACCGGCTGTCATTGCTTAAGCACGTTTTTTGCTCTAAAACGCAAGTTTCTTCTTTACTAAATTGCTAAAACAAGGAAAATCTACGGAAACAACTCAAAGGGGACTTTGTAAAGCGAATGAGAATTCATAGAGAATGAAATAAATTTAAGTTAAATATGAAATACTTATATGTGTCTGTATGTATAAATAAATTGTATGAGTAATTGTTACATAAATAATATTATATTAACTTCTCAAATGTAATGAAACAAGTTAATTTTTATAAATTAATTTCAAGTTAACGCGTACGATACTTTGAATACCTCGTGTCACATATTTAGAAGTTTGATAGGCTGCTCGTCCATACATGCCACAGTTTGAAAGCCACAAAGTGTTTGAAAAGCTAAATCGATTGTATGGGAGCAGAAGTGAGTTAAAGGGTGTTCAAAAAAGTTAAGAAAATAATCAAACATAGCATAATAAAATTAAGTAAGAAAAAGTAAAATAAAATAAATTGAAAGAAAATAAAAATATTAAATAAATTAAAGAAAAATAAAACAATTAAATTAAAATAATAAAATGAAATAAAATAATATAAAATAAAAAAATTAAATGAAATACAATTAAATTAAATTATAAATATTAAATTCAAGAAAATAAAATATAATAAAAAAAATAAAATCAAATAAGAAATAAAATAAAATAAAATTAATTAAAATAAAATAGATTAGAAAAAAATGAAAAAAAAAAATTTTAATAAAATAACTTAAAATAAAATGAAATAAAGTAAAATAAAATAAAATTAAATTAAATATAAATTTATTGAAATAAAATGAATTGCAATTCGTGGAAATGAAAAAAATGAGAAGTAAATTGGGACAAATTGAAACAAAATAAAAGAAAATTAAATAAAAATAAACAATATAAAATTAGGAAGATAAAATAAAATCAACTGAGATAAAATTAAATTAAAAATAAATTGAAATAAAATAAAAAATCAACTAAACTTAAATAAAAAAACTAAAATAAAATAAAACAAAACGAAATAATACAAAACAAAATAAAATAATATAAAAAAATAAAATTAATTAACATAAAATAAAATAAAACAAAATAAAATAAAAAAACGAATTAAAATGGAAAGTAAATTAAGACAAATTGAAATAAAATATAAACTAAAATAAAATATAATAAAATAAAATAAAATAAAATAAAATAAAATAAAAAAAAAGAAATAAAATAATTTAAAATTAAATTAAATTAAAATAAAGTTAATTAAGTTGAAGAAAATAAAATAAATTAAATATAACAATATAAACTAAAACATCATAAATCAACCAAAAATGTAAAGTTATATATAATTAATTAATGAAATATAACAATATAAAATATAAAAAAAAATTATTTAAAACACGAACGAAATGAAACAAAGTGAAATTAGTAAAGTAGCTTAAAATCAAGTAAAAAAAGTAAAATAAAAAATGAGTAAAATATCAAATAAAAATTATATTAAACTTAAATAAAATATAAATAAGTATAATATCAAAAAATTCAATTAAATATTACTAAAAAACTTAGTTTAGTTTAAAGAAAATTAAATTTGAATTCAAAATTATTAGAAATCAAAATACTGCCCACAGACAGGCATGTTCAATATGTGAGCTTTAAATAGAGTAAGTAAAAACAACAAAAATGCGATATGTATTAAATAATGTTAGGAACGGTGTATAATATTAAAAATATATAAAAAACAAAACAAATAAATGAGAAAAAACTGTTAAATATTTTTTTTTATTTATAAATTTTGTTAAACATTTTAAGACCTTAACATGAGTTTTGATGCATCCTTAGACTAACTTCGTTATATCGCCCAATGAGGGCACAAAAAAGTCGGGTATATAACGCACGTTTTCGCTGGGATTTTGCAGAATCTCATTTAACTCATATACGCTGTTGAAGCCTGTGCCAACGAGTAAAGTTTGGAGACCGCAATTATGACCGAATAAAATATCAACTTTGCAACTAGACAGAAGGAGAATTACATATTAAATATATTAAATTCTGATAATAAACAATAAGTGACTTTTATTTCATTAGCGAACTCTACTCACACATCCCCAATCATAAGCGTACGCGCTGGCACCACCCTACCGCTCTTTATCAACTCTGCACAAATTTCCGCATTCGGCTTGCCAAATTGCAGCGCTGAACGTCCCACACAAGTCTCCAGCGCAACCAAAAGTGCACGCGTACCGGGTACACTGAATGCCGGATAACGATGTACATGATCAAAATTGGTGGACATGAAAAGGCAATCCGGATTCGTGCTTAAATAGTGACAAGCTTTTAACATTTTGGCAAAACTAAAATGTTCATCGAAGCCCACAACAACAGCGCCAACTTCGTGGGCTTCTGTATCGTGCACATGTTGTGCAATATAGTCACTCAATTTACCCGCCAAAACATCTGGACCAGGACCAAAACTTTCTATGCCAACTGCAGTGAGTTCGGTACGCACAGCTTCGGCACCTATAATGTAGACTTTCTTTCGGAAATCACGTGCCTGCAGGTACTCAACAATACCGGATATAGGTGCTATTATACGAGTTTCGGGTACATCGAAACCAGCGCCCATTGCAGTCTTCCATATATCATGACGCGTCTTTATACCGTTATTTGTGACGAAATATACCTCTTTGCCGAGTGTTTTAAGTAACGAAATGGCTGCTGGCACGCCATCAATGGCGACCCCTTCGTGCCATAGTACGCCTATGTGAAATAGAGAAGTGGAAGTAGAAAAAATATTACAAATGACGCACAGTACTTTGGCTTGCGGGCACGTTCGCCGAGAGTGCTGCTAATAAAAGCTCGCGCTTACGCTCAGATCTTGTTGCTCACATTTTTTTAAGGGAAAGTGAAAACGCTTGTGCTCTCGCGCATTCTCTCTTACTCCCACTCTTCGCTCGCTCTCTCCCTCTCTCACTTCGATCAACGCAAAGTACACGGTACACTTTTTATCATTTCTTTTATTTGTGTATCGCAAAAAGTAAACAAAAAGTTGTTCCATCATTACTTACCATCGCAATCCGTGAGCACTGTATCGAAGCTGTTGAGCCAATTTGCCATTTCGGTTTTTGTTAGATTCACCAAATTTTTCGGCTTTTGCTTGTACATTCTTAGCGAGGGTTAGACGTTATTTAATTAGAATTTGTATATTTTTTATAAATAAATAAACAAGAATTTTATTTGAAAATTCAGCAACCAGAAGCGTTGGCGTGATTGCGCACTCTGTCCAACTGTTTTGTGTCAATGAATGGCTTTTTATATTCAAAGCACTTTAAAAATTTATGATAATTGATGAAAGAGAGCATGATAATTTTCGTTAATTCATGCGAGAGCTTTTCCAAACAGTGCAGTGGCGAAGCGGGAGTCATAATAATGGCTGGAGTTTATGAAGTACAAGCGGGCGGAAAGCAAATTTGGCTGGCATTACCTATAAAACTTACCTTGATAGCGGCACCCAGTAGATGCCTTTTTACTCCAAAGACGACATGGAGAGTAGTATTCACCCTTTCTTGTTCTTAAAGTAGTGCAGACTATCTAATATCAGTCGTGATACCGTTTTTTTTGGTATTAACCGTCTGAGTTCAAGGACACTGGCATACAAATCAAGCAGTTGCGAAAAGGATAAATGTGGATTTCTATGGAGAGAGAGTCGCAGTGAAAAATTATGAACGTGCAAAGAGGTAGCTGTTCGTGTTCGTGAAACAGAGGTGGCTTCTAGGCGCATTAGAAAGGATTTACGTGGCTGATTTTAGTGATTATTAACTAAGCCACTAGACCTGAAGTATTATAAACTCCGTTAATCCTGTATATTAATCAACGAATTCCTTAATTTTCTAAGGGTTAATGGTGTTATTGCAAACCAACTTCCTGTCACCTATTGCTCAGGAAAAGCTCGTAATGCCCTTTGAAACTCCAGCAATCCCAACGCAACTACGGTCTGGATCTCATATGGCAGCAACAATGCATATACAACTTGCAATAAGTACCCACTCGATACTCGCCGTTGAATAACTCATATCCTGGTCTTTCTGAATGGCTTAGACAACATTTACTTGTACTTAACAGGGACTTTAACAACAAGAACCAGTTTTATCGTACGAGTCATGATATTTAAACTTATCAAGACAAATCTTTTTAAACACTTTTAACTAAATCACGGAAACTATTCATGTTTTTATCGAAGCTAGGTTAAAGTAAGCTTACGTAAACTTAGACTACATTTCTGTGTAGTCTACATACATAGTTCTTAGGTGATACCTTTCCGTATTGTAATATAATAATATTTACGTCTTTGTCACGATTATATGAGCTCCTTTCCCACACCCTGCTTGACTTACTTCTCCGAATTTGCGCGAAAATCCTAACCTCGCACGCCGAACTTCCGCAGGATGGACTTTTTATTCGTTTCCGTCCGATTAAAAGAACCATCTGGACGACTGAAATGGTGAATGTTAGCAATCACGTGCGCCAGTTATGCCAATGTTCGATAATGTTCAGCCTTAAACATTGTTACGTATTCCAAAACAAATTGTTAAAATGTCAACAATAAATTATTTACGCACATCAGCAAATAGTCAATGCAAAGCGATAGACAGCAGCTTATCAGTTATGGAATGCATCCCCCTCGATGCATTTTTGTTTCTATATTTGTTTATTTGTTTACTTTTTTTTATTTATTAATTTGTATTTTTATTTTATTTTTTTCGATGCAAGGTTGGAAATTTTCCTAAAGATATTTATAACAAAGTATTAGTTATTGTTTTTGGTCGGGTTGTGTCGTCGCCAATGGACGCAAGGAAAACAGATCCGGTGGAGAGAGACCTGGCTTTACTTGAGTGTCTTCAACAGCGCCGAACGGCTGTTGCTAAGTCGACCAATAAAGAAGAAAAAAAGAATAGTTACTATTTTTTTATTATTATTTTTATTAGTTTTTCTAATCACTGGGAAGTACCTATCAAAATAGATTAACTTGTTTTGCAGCTTTGTCTACTAATTTAATTTATGAAAAATATTTGCATGGGCTTACGTATGACAATATGTATTTTTAATAAAATTTCATGACTAAGGCCGTGATTTTCTGCTATATAAATAAAGACAGAAATCAATTATTTATGATGGAAAATAATATGAAATATTTTACGTAAGTAATTCATGATAAAATTATGTCAGTTGATATATGGAATCGTCTGGAACAACTGTGAATATATGTAAATTTATAAAACAGTAATATACAACTTAAGTATAACATTATTTTTTTCGAGTTAAACCATGTTTATTTTTTGTTTTATTTTTTTATATTATTTTATTATATTTTATTATTTTATTTTATGTTTTAATTTATTTTTACTTTTTTATTTTATTTTATTCTACTTTCTTATATCATTTAATATTATTTTATTTCTCTATTTAATTTTTTGATTTCTTTTTTATTTTATTATATTCCATTTTATTAATTTAATTTTATTTTATATCATTTTAATTCATTTATAAATATATTTAATATTTTATTATTTATATTATTTTATTCCATTTTATTTATTATTTTATATTATTTTTTTAATTGATATAATACTATTTTATTTAAATTTATTTTATTTTGTTTTATTTTATATTATTATACTTTGTATTAATAAATTTTATATTAACTTTAGAGTTTTTGTAATTTTATTATTTAATTTTATACTATTTAATTTTTTTTTTTTTGGTTTTACTTTATTCAATTTTTATCTTTTTTTCTGTTATATTTATTTATTTTAACTTTATTTTATATTTATTTAATTGATTTAATATAATTTTATTTAAATTTATTTCATTTTATTTTGTATTAATAAATTTTATATTAACTTTAGAGTTTTTTAATTTTATTATTTAATTTTATACTATTTTATTTTTTTTTTTTGGATTTACTTTATTCAATTTTTATTTTTTTCTGTTATATTTATTTATTTTAACTTTATTTTATATATTAATTTTTTTAATTGATATAATTTTATTTTAATTTAAATTTATTATTACTTTATTTTGTTTTATTTTATATTATTTTATTTTTATATTATATATTTTTTTTAAATTAATTTAAATATTGTTTTATTAAAAATTTATTTTATTTTGTTTTATTTTATATTATTTTATTTTGTATTAATAAATTTTATATTAACTTTATATTTTTTTTCAATTTTATTATTAATTTTTATATTATTATGTTATATTATACTGTATTACGCTGCAAAATTTTTTTTCAATTTAATTTTACTTTATTTATTACTTTATTGTATTTATTTTTTTTTTTAGCTTACCTTTTTAAAATTATCTTTCTTAGTTTATTGTATTATATCTTGTTTTACTTTATTTTTTATTAATTTATTAGTTTCATTTCAATTTATTTCATTTTATTAATTTTTTTTTTTATTTCATTTCTTTGTTTTATTTTTTTTTTCATTTCATTTCTTTGTTTTATTTTTTTTTAGTTTATTTTAATTTTTTTATTTTGTTTTTTATTTTAATATATTATATTTTACCTTGATTAATTTTATTTTTATTTTTAAATTGTGCTACTTTATTTAAATTTTTTGATTTTGTATTATTTTAATTTATTTTGTTTTATTAATTTTATTTACTTTTGTTTAATTTAATTTAATTTTTATATTATATTTTGTGTAATTTTTTTTAGTTTATTCTAATTTCTTTTTGTCCTTTTATTTAAATTATTTATTTAGTTTTGATTTACTTAAGTTTGTTCCATTTTGTTTTATTTCTATATCGATTTTTATTTACGCATATTATTTCACTATTATTTAATTCTTTTTATTTTCTTATTCCAAAAGTTCTTACTATTTAAGCATGCATATTATAAAAAATATATAAAAGTGCTTAATGCTACTTACATAAATGTTAATATACAAAAATTTATATAACAAATATTTTAAAATATATTATTATACCGCAAACATAACACTAAATAAGCGCCAACAAATCGGCTAGTCTTGGCAAATATACGTCCGGCACAAGTTTCTTATCTTCAGGATCACATGATTTTTTCCACACATTCACATCGCTCAATTGATTTACGCCTGTACCGACAAGCAATGTTTGAAAACCACAATTACGGCCCAGGAGTATATCACTGCCGCAGCTGAAATTAACAAAAATTTATATGTATATATATGCATAAAAAAATAAATAAAATAAAAATTAAATAATATACATAAGGTGAATACCCACCAATCGCCAATCATCAGCGTTCGCGCCGGCTCAATCCTACCACTCTTGATTAACCATTCACAAATACTCCGATTCGGTTTGCCAATAACAACCGGTTCACGCGCCGTACACGTCTGCACAGTGCGCACAATACTACCAGCGTCCGGTATAACCATGCCTGTGATGGGAAATCGTTCATCTATATTTGTCGCTAAGAATAAACACTTCGGATCCGAGAGGTACACCGATGCCTTAATCATTTTGCAAAAACTGAAATGTACATCAAAGCCGACAACGACAGCGCCAATATCGGTATCTGGACGAAAACCGGATTTTATATAAGCAGTCAACCTGCCCGACATTACATCCGGACCGACACCAGTGTGTTTAATACCGACAGCCTCCAGCTCGTCCGTTATGCCAGCTGTGCCAATCACGTAGACTTTCTTTTGGAAGTTACGCGCTTTCAGGTAAGCAGCAGTTGCATACGAAGAGGATATAATATGATCGGCATCAATATCAAAACCCATGTTGTGTGCTTTCTCATACAATTGCTGGCGTGTCCTTGTTGAATTGTTAGTGCAGAGATAGATTTGTTTGCCCAAGCGTTTTAACTGACGCATAGTGTCCACAGCGCCTTCAATCACATTATCGCCAAGCCAAATTACGCCTACGGTGAATGTAAGTGTATTAGAAATCAATAAGGCAGTCAAAATTCAACGCACTCACCGTCACAATCACTGATAATCGTATCAAAACTAGCCAACCATTGGCGTATCCTGTCCAATGGCTGTTCTAGTAGATTCACACAACGTCCTTGATGCATTTCTTGCGGTTTGTGGCTTTCTTAATTGAAATAGTTTCCGCTAAATGTAAAACTTAACTTTGCCCGTTACGATATCTTCCAAGGTTCTCCACACAACTGCCAATAGACAGCGCCTTTTATGTCTCAAACTAAACGCAATTTGCATTTTTTTTTATACAAAGTGATTTAGCGATACACTTTTAACCCCTTCGGACCCCATATGAGATAAGGGCAAATCGCATCCCTTTTTATGAATTTTGTTTTGAACTATTTGTTATTTTCTACAGTTTGGTCCAATATTTTTTATTATTATTTAATTTCGCAGTTTATTTAAGTTGTTTTTTTTTGTTGTGTAGTTGCTATTTTCCGTATTTGTACAAAAAGAAAACATTTTAGGACAGCAGTGCAAAACATTTATGCACAATTACAAATAAATTATAAGTTCATATGTGTATTTATGTAAGTACAAATGTATTAAAGTTTTTAGCGTACAAATTTATATTAATTAAAATTGTTGTTGTTATACTAATGACAAACAAATTTACTAATTATAATACCAAATAAAGGTAATAAAGTACAATATAATAAATATTTGTAGTAATATTGTGTGTGTCAGCGCCGGCTTTATTTCAGTATTTTTTTCTTTTCTTTTTTTGCTATTTAGTGCATAGTTTTATTTTTTAATTTACATTTACCCTCAAAAAGTAACACTACATAAATGGCAGCAAGTCACCCAATTTGGGCAAAAAGACATCGGGTATCAGTTTCTTTTGCTCCGGATCATCTGAATTCTTCCACGCCTCGACATCGTTCAACTTATGTATGCCTGTGCCGACAAGCAATGTTTGGAAACCACAATTGTAGCCCAAAAGTATGTCAGTGTTGCAGCTGAAGTCGAGAAGAAAAGAAATATAAACATTTTGGAACTCAAATTTTACTGCCAGCCATCAGACTCACCGATCGCCAATCATCAGCGTACGCGTTGGATCAATGGTACCCTCATTTATTAACCACTCACAAATGCTAGGATTCGGTTTGCCAATTACGAAGGGTTCACGTTCAGCACACGTTTGCACGGCACGTACGAAACTACCCGAACCGGGTATCACCATGCCGGGCATAGGAAAACGCTCATCCGTATTTGTTGCAATGAATAAACAATCTGGATTATCCAAATATGTAGCGGCTTTAATCATTTTACAGAAACTGAAATGTTCATCGAAGCCCACAACAACAGCACCAATATCGGTCTCCTTATGAAAGTTCGTAGCCAAGTAATCAGCTAATGTACTGGTCATTACATCCGGACCCACTTCACTGTGCTTAATGCCAACTGCATCTAGTTCACCAGTTATGCCACCAGCGCCTATCACATATACTTTCTTTTGGAAATTACGCGCTTTCAGATATGCAGCCGTAGAGTGCGCTGACGATATCATGCCCTCGGCAGTTATATCAAAACCCATGCTATGTGATTTCTCTAGCAATTGTTGACGTGTTTTTGTCGAATTGTTGGTGCAGAAGAAAATCTTTTTGCCAATCGTTTTGAAACGATTCATTGTATCCACAGCGCCTTCTATGACATTGCTGTACACCCATAGGACGCCTAGCAAAAGAAAGTGTAAACATTTTAGAAAAAAATATATGGATATGTTATAGATTACAAGATTCTTTAGGTTCCTTTTTATGTAAAAAGAATAAAATATAAGATATCATCATATATCCACCTACATATATCAAAATAGAGTGTACATTTTTTTTTAATTTTTTTTTGTCTTTTTTTACGTTTTTCTTATCTTATCTCATTTTGCATCTGCCCTTATTGATAGTCTCAATGAATCAGCACTTTTTTGAAAAGTTGCTACAAAGATATTACTACAACACATTCGTATACATACATATCTACATAAAGCCTCCAGCTTCCGCTAATTACAAGTTCAGCTCGTTCATTTTAAATCGTGACATTGTCTTTGCCCTATAAAAGACACCTTGACCATGTATCCATAGTATGTATACACATGCTATATTCACTCACATAGCAATTTTTCTATTTGTTTTCGTTGAGGCTATGCATAAGCGTCACAGAGGTGTGTACGTCACCAAGAAAACAGAAAGAGTATTGAAAGCCGCTACCAATAGGAAATTACGCAATGTTACCTCATAGTTTGTGAGTACCCAAAGAAAATTCATGCACGCCACACAAAGCAAATTACATTTGTTTCATCACTTTGAAATCGAAAAACGAAAGTGACCTTTAAGGTCAAAATGTTTTTGCACTAATTCAACCACTTGAAATTAAGTGTTTCATTCACCAATCACTGTACTTACCATCACAATCGGTGATAACAGCGTCGAAGCCGTTTAGCCATTCCTTGACCTTCTCCGGCGGTTGCTCAAGCAGATTCGTACAAGTTTGTTTGTACATATTTCTATGATACTGACTAAGAGTGCTCCTGGCGGTTTTGTTACCCGTATTGTCGGCTTTAAGCGTTGATTTGTTAAGTTTAAAATAAACCGTGTGAACTATATATCCACGAGGGTATAAAATCCTGACTTGACCGAGTTACCGTTGATAGCCAATGCTTTTATTCCTACCGCTGGCACATTCGAGACCACAGCCAATTCTGTCGTCAGCCGTTTCTATTCGGAAAAAAATTAGTGTATTTTACTTTTTATGTAGAAATAAAATCATACATACAATCGTATTTTGTTATGCTCTTTTGCCCTTCACGATCATGTTTGCAATTAAAAGAGCGTACCAATAATTGCCAATAAGCAAAGCGATAGAGAATACAGACAGCAAAAGCTATGTGGCGCGTTTCAGTTTCGAAATGCGACCCAGTGAGTCAGCCAAGTAGCAATAATTATCTCAATCAGCCGTTGTTGACTCTCTCACGCGTGCTCCACTCCATACACAATACGACGCTATATATGTATTGACAATGAGACACCCGTTTGTCTGGCTCCCCAGCACGTGCGTTGTTATTTCATAAAGGTACCTATCGATTTTCAACAACTCAACCAACCCCTTCGCTTCAGCGCTTCTTATACAATCAATGACACTTTAGCTTTTTTACTTTTTCCGTAATAACGACATATCTATGCCGGCTTTCTTCTATACGCTTTCCTAATTGGTAACTCGGCATATTTTATAAATTAACTTACATTTACACTATTCCAGCTTTAGCACACCTTCCACCGTCCAGTCCAACTTACTTGCATTGAGCTTTTGCTGTATTTATGGTTGTTCTCTCGTTGACGTTTAGTTTTCACATTTCAAGCTTCCTTCTTTGCAGTTTTATCGTGTTTTGTATATGCGCAGATACGCGCATAAATTGAGTATTCAGTTCATATTTATTGCTGTTTTTATTTTAATTCAATGAATAGAAAATCAACAGAAAAGCAATAAATTATATTTTTCCCTTGCACTTTATCTTTACTTCGAAAGTGTTGTTGTAACAGCTGATTTATGTTTTCACTATCACCGTGCAGTGTTGGTAAAAAGAGAGAACAGAGAAAGCTACGAGATTTATGGAATGATAACAATTTTTAACTCTAGGATTTAATTTTTAGCATAAGCGAAGTTTAGTATTCGCTATTAATAAAGTTTACACAAAACTAAGAATATCATAATATTTACTGCATGATTTTTGTTCAGAAGTTAATGCCATGAAACTTTCTTTTTTTTTTGTGTAAAACTCAATTTTTCTCAATTCACCTTAATTTAACAGCGTCCGTTCTCCGACTCTCTCTTCCGGACTCTATTTCTCTCTTAACCAATGCAAATTTTCAACGGCAGCGTGCCTGCTTTGATTGATAAGCTCAATAACGTGAATTGCCTTTTACACTGCTTTTCTTTAAACAAAATATTTTGCTTATTTACCATTAACAAATGTAATTGTTTTAATATTTTACACATTTTAGCTAGTGTTATTTAGCTTTGTGCGCTTTCTTTATTTTCGACGAAGGACTTCGCAGAAATATTACAAGTCGGATAAATTGGGAATATAAGCATCTGGCATAAATTGATATATCTCATTATTTCTTTAGCTCCTGTACATCATTCCGGTGCCAATTAGAAGCGTTTGGAAGCGAAGATTGTGACCGAAAGGCACATCCGTTTTACAGCTGTGAAGTGTTTAATGATTTTAGTTTAAAATTTGGTTTCACGTGAATTTCTTTTTGCGGGTGAGAATTATTATTGGGATAAACAAAAAACTTACAAAAAACTACATATGTGCATGTATTTAATGGAAAAATTTCTGAATTTGAAACAAAAACATCAACGCGTAACTCAATTACCTACTTATAGCCAAGGATTTGTGTTGCCAATACCGATGGCTTTGCGTCCAGCACAGCACTCAATGACCATCCATATTTGTGGCGATGAATAAACATTCTGGATTTTCCAAATAAGTCAACGCTTTAGCTAATTTACAAACACTAAAATTTTTATTATAACAAACAACAACCGCACCTACAACGCGTTCCTTCCATCGCTTCAGTGAGCACCTCATTGCCAATAACATAGGCATATATAAGAAAATCAAGTGATTTCAAATAATCCGCCGTTGCATAGGACAAACAATTCATTGCGTTATCTTGTATGTGGAGACATACAAACATAAATTTTTTTACCCAAAATCCTCAAAAGGTTCAGGGTCTCTATAGCGCCTGGTACAGGTTTGTTGTAGATCCAGAGCATACCTAGGAAGGAGTATTTTTTGTGATTTCAAAAACAAAAAAAAATAAAAACTAAAAAATCTACCTTCACCACCTGCTATGATCGTATTGAATGTGTTTAATACGCCTTCACTTCCGCTGCTAGTTGTAGAATTAAATTTTCACAATTTTTGTGGTTTTTTTTTCTTTTTAAAATATTGTATATATGAATGTATGTCTCTCTGTTGTTTTATGGTGCTTAAATCAACATGGAAGGAGAAAACTTCCCTTCAAATTGCACTTTAAATTTAAAAGAAAGATTTGAAATAATTTAGCTAATTTGCCAAAAAGTAGCATGGAAAAATTTGTACATTTTTTATTAAAATCCAAAGTCAAGAATTTTTTGTAACTTCATATGCTTACTTTTTTATTTATATTTTTTCGTCATTAATGTTATTTTCACACATTTCTTTTATTAAGTTCCTATATTAGATGTTAAAGTAATTGTTATTAAACACTATAAAAGAAAAACGTCACTTTAAACTAAACTAGCATAAAATAAACTAATGGTACGTTTTTAATTTTTTTTTTGTTGTAAATATCTATGATGTACATATATATGTATATGTATATATATTTGTTAATTTCGACTGCAAACTTTGGCGCAAAAGTGCTGCTCCGCAGCCCACTTGCCACGAGAATAAATTTAATATTTGATAACTCCGTTACTCTTTTTATTAGAGCATAATAAACGAAGGTTTAAAATTTTGTTACAGTCGCTTGCAGCATTTCAATTTTGGCCAAATAGCTGCAAATTATTATTCGCAGAAAGTTTTATTAAATAGAAAAAATGTCTCCTAGTTTTTTTTGTTTTTTTTTTTAATATATTTTCTTGTTCAAAGTAATTTAGTTTTGGAAGGAAGAGATGCATTGGAAATAAAATTGTTTTAAAATTAAACTAAACATTAAATTACAAAAACTAAACCTAAATAAGAAAAGTTGCAGTTTAAACAAAATGAATATTTGCTGAGTTTTTCTAGTTTGCTAAGTGTGAGGATACAAAATATGTCTGTATGCTGTTTTTTTTCTGGTTTTGTATATTTTAACTTGCAATCTTAAGTTTCAGCGCTGCGCATGCATTTTGCTTTCATTTTGATTCACATTTAAATAACTTTTTGTTGCCTTTTGCATCTCATACATACTGTAATGCATATTTTCAACCACCCCACTACAGCATTAATTGTTGTGATATCGTACCCATATCACTTAGCATTGGCGTCGCTGACATTTGTTGTTGTTGTTGCTGCACCGGCTGTTGCATTGCAATTCCACCGGACATCACATTTACACCACTACCACTAACTGTACCAACATTACTGCCGCTGCTGCCAACCATTGTGGGCATACCACCCAATCCCATGCCGCCTGTACCCACACCCCCGACACCAACAACGCTTGAGCCACCACTAACGCTGCCGCCACTACCTCCACCACCACCGCCACCGCTAGCTAATGAACCAGCTGCTGAAGGCTCTGGACTGTGACTTTTCTTTTTACGCTTCTTTTCTTTTTTCCGTTTCTTACGCTCCTTTTCATCTTCATGTCGTTTTTGTTTTTTGTGTTTGCGCTCGTACGTTTCCAGTCCAGTTGAGTCTGTAAAGGAATATGCAACTATTTAAATGCACACCTTGATAAACGGCAGGAACTAATATGCCGTACATACCCATTAACGATGTTTCCTGCGGCACAGCACCGTCTTTATGTTTGTGCTTTTTATGCTTATTTTTGTGTTTTCGAGCAGGCGTCGTATTCAGCGCACGATACTGTTCAGGTAGCTAAATAAAATTGAAAAAAAAAAAAAAAAACAAAGATAAGTATGTATACCTCAGGGTTTATAAAAAAAACGTTTGTTCTTACAGGTCCAGGATGCAGGCGGAATCCAGCTAATTGTACGGCAGTTAATGGCACTAGCTCTTTGCCAACAATCGGTGGTTTTTCAATGACACTGCGTAGTGTACTATTTTCCTGTTAAGTATTATATACATTTGTATTATACATATGATACATATTTAAATTTTTTTTTTTAATTTTAATTGCTTACCAGATTGCTGTTGGTATCGTAAATGCCAGGTAAATTTGGTAGGAAAGAAGCCAATGACTCCTTAACTTTTTTATCTTTAAATTTTGTAAGTGTGTGGTGCAAACCATATTCGGTCATTAAGTCCTTATCACCCGTCAATTCACCTTTACCTAAGAATATATTAAGTTTATTTGTATAATTTTATTTCATACATACAAGCAATATTTTAATCATTTACCTGGTGGCTCCTTCATTGAGTAAAATGGTCCGGTTTGTAGTATCATAGGCGTTTTCCCCAGTGATATTGTAGTCTTTAATGTACCAGATGAATCTTGTCTTGATACCACTGGTGAACGACCACCGTGTGGCGATGATTTTGGGGAATATGTTGTACTTTCCATTTTGCGAAATTGATCGCCCATCATCATATTACTATAGTTATTCATCATGCTGATTACTTGGTAACAGGTGTGTTACCTACCACTTCATCAGAATTTCAAAAAAAAAAAAAAAAAAAAATGTATCAAAAATTGAAATCTCACACAGCACACCTTCTCGCATTCACTCCAAGACTTTTTAATTCTATTATATTTAATAAACCACAAATGTCTAGTTTATTTTTCGAGCCAAATTGCACTACAAGAATTGTATTCCGTTACTATTAGCTCTCACGTACTACCACTATTGTTGCACGTCTGTTGAGCTCAGCGTTTGCCAACTTGGGCAATCCAGCCTCTGCTGCGACGGAATAATTCGACTGCTCCAAACTACCTTATACGTATGCAAAACAGACACTATTTCTATTCAAAACACTTTCTAGCGTGCTTAATCAATATTTTATAGCACTTTTTGTAATTTTTGTACGTCTTTTTGATGTAAATAACAAATTTTAAATTTGCGAAAAATCTTTAGACGATTTCGATTTAATCGCCATCTTGAGACTGAATTAAATGCGAATGTCAAATCACAATCGAAGTTGTCAAAAATGCTGAAAATTTTGCATAAAAAAAAGTGGAACACAAAGGAGAAAAAGATAAGAAAAGCAGAATGAAATGGGTCGCGTCTTGGCTAAATTTAAAGCAGCATAAAAATATTTCATTACCTAACGGTTCATCACGCTATTTTCGATATTATAAATAAAATTATTAAATGAAACGTAGATTTGATATATAAATGTACAAGGCATACAATCTCAGTCATTATAATTTCATCAAGGCATTTTGAATTGGTTGTAATTAACACACTCGTCTAATTTTGTGGTGTTTTTGAACACTGTAGATTTGTGTCATTTCTTTTTATTTCTTATATTTGACATTTCAGGTTTTGACATTTTTTTACTTTGGTTTTTCGCCAAAAAACTATCGTAGACAATTCATTCGCCTGTTACCGGAGGAATTTTTTGCTCGCTAGTAGAAGTAGAAATTGATCTTTCTGCCATTTAGTTAAGTTTATAAAATAACGTAAAAACTTGCAAAATGCAGTGTACTCTACGTAATGCTATCGCAACAGCAATCAAGGTGAGTTAATTACCACTTAAATAAAAGAAAAGTAATTGTATATTATGACGACAGTGAATTGGATTATTGGTGAATTTTGTGGTTATGCAATTCATCAGAATTAACCTATTCACAGGGCTTGCGGTGACTGCGGGCTCAGTTATAAAACTTAATCCATGATTAAGCAAGATTTAAAGCATAGCAGTTCCAATAAATATTTATCTAATGATTAAATGAAGAAGTTATAGGTGTACCAAAAGCGTTATAAATAGGCAGTGGTAGCGCAGGCGTGTGAATATGTGTACATAAAGTTAAAGATAAATTCTTATTTCTGGCGAATAAGTAATGGAAATTTTTTGCAAAAATTTCAGTGGATTAGATCACTATTTCATTCAACTCTCAAACTTGGAACAAAAAAGAGAAAGTCTTTTCTAAAATTTTTATAGCGCCTTATTTGAGTTTGTGGTGTGACATTGACGTTCTGGTCATCCATATATTAGAAACAGAAACCCCTTATCAATACTATATTATAAGTGCGAATCTTTGTGTCGTACTTAATTGTATGAATATATGACGTGACTTGCTGATAACAGTAGCTGGCATTCAAACACATTGTGTTATGTACATACATATATTTGTATATATGCTAATACATTTAATTGCGCTGCCTTTCTAATAGATATGTTTTTGTAACGTGACCTCGTGTCTCTTTACTTAGTCACTAAATTTTTGAAACCAATTAATTTTCTCTTACAGACGCCATTGCGCACGAATGGCGCTATTTTGGGCGCGATAAATGGTCGCTTCTACTCGAGCACACATGAGGCTGATTTGGTGGTGATTGGTTCCGGTCCAGGTGGTTATGTTGCTGCCATCAAGGCTGCTCAATTGGGATTAAAAGTATGTAAACCTTATAAACAGAAATATTAATTATTTTATAAATATTTCAAATTATTTCATATTTTCAGACCGTTAGTGTTGAGAAAAATGACACATTGGGTGGCACCTGCCTTAATGTCGGTTGCATTCCCTCAAAAGCTTTGCTAAACAATTCTCATTACTATCACATGGCACACTCTGGTGATTTGGCTAACCGCGGCATTAACTGCGGCAACGTTTCTTTGGATTTGGAGAAACTTATGGGTCAGAAGGTCAACGCTGTTAAAGCACTTACAGGAGGTATTGCACAATTGTTCAAAAAGAACAAGGTTACACAGTTGACCGGTCTTGGCAGCATTGTTAATCCAAATCAAGTGCAAGTGCAGAAAGATGATGGTAGTGTTGAAACTGTGAACACAAAGAACATTATGATTGCCACCGGCAGTGAAGTTACACCGTTCCCCGGTATTGAAGTGAGTGTTTATATGAAGCGTATTCTTCCATGTACCTATAACAAAAAATTTTCTATTATTTTTCAGATCGACGAGGAGGTCATTGTTTCGAGCACAGGTGCGCTTTCGCTTAAACATGTACCCGAAAAAATGGTTGTTATCGGTGCTGGTGTTATTGGTCTGGAGTTGGGTTCTGTATGGTCCCGCCTCGGCGCTGAAGTGACTGCTGTTGAATTCATGGATACCATTGGTGGTGCCGGTATTGATACTGAGGTGTCCAAGACTTTCCAGAAAGTGCTCACAAAGCAGGGTTTGAAATTCTTGTTGGGCACAAAAGTTTTGGCAGCACAGCGTAGTGGCAACAGTGTAACTGTGTCAGTGGAAAACGCTAAGTCCGGCGATAAACAAGATATTTCTTGTGATGCCTTATTGGTTTCTGTTGGCCGTCGCCCATACACCGAGGGTCTTGGACTTGACGCTGTTGGTATTGTGAAGGACGATAGAGGTCGCATCCCAGTGAACAGCAATTTCCAAACTGTTGTACCAAATATTTACGCCATCGGTGATTGTATTCACGGACCTATGTTGGCACACAAAGCCGAGGATGAGGGTATTATTTGTGTCGAAGGTATTCTTGGTGGACACGTACACATCGATTATAACTGCGTACCAAGTGTTGTATACACACATCCCGAAGTTGCGTGGGTGGGCAAATCCGAGGAACAATTGAAACAGGAAGGTGTCGAATATAAAGTTGGCAAATTCCCATTCTTGGCTAACTCACGTGCAAAGACCAACAATGAGACAGATGGTTTCGTTAAAGTTTTAGCTGATAAGGCCACCGATCGTGTGCTGGGCACACACATAATTGGACCTGTAAGTGCAACTTTTGAAATTTTCGTAGAAATTGGTATATTTTTTGTTTATCTATTATAGAGCGCCGGTGAACTCATCAATGAAGCTGTGTTGGCGATGGAATATGGTGCCGCTGCTGAAGATGTTGCACGCGTCTGTCACGCCCATCCAGTAAGTTTCTGAAATTTCTTGCAAAAGTTTGCCATGCCTCTACCAATGCCTCGCACTTTCTTTTCAGACTTGCGCTGAAGCTCTTCGTGAAGCGAATGTTGCGGCCGCCTTCGGCAAACCCATTAACTTTTAATCATAATCCGAGCTAAGATCAGTGAAGCAATAATCATATTTATATTAATTAAAAACTCACTCTGCCTTTAATTTCGTTTTAAAATATTTATAAACTGTAGAACAATATGTCACAAAAAATATGACTTCTCTGCTCGGAAAGAGTATTTCATCTCTTTTCTGAATGTATATCATCTCAAATATGCGCTTGTGTGGCTGCCATTTGCGAAATTGTGTTGTCTAAACGAGATTAGGAAAAATCTACTTATATATTCCTACCAAAGGAAAACACGTACGGAGTGTAAAAACTGTGAAATTTAACTAGAAAATCCGAAAACGAAACTTAATGATTATACTTAGTATAGAAAAAGATACGTTTCAAAATAAAAATGGAAAACGTGGGAAAATTTCTGTAGTTTATTTTTCGGATCTACTAAAGTAAGTTGGGTTTTCAATTTGTAATATTGGACTAAGCAAGAAGAAAGTTACTAGACATATATATTTTCTGGACTTTCGGAAGGGATGTCAATCTAGAATATAGACCATTATATAATAGCATTCCAGCACAATACCATCCGACCGCACAAGTTACTTATATAATCAAATTTATTCACTAAAGGAAAAGGAAGTAGCTTTATACGGATACATCTTTTGGCTTTTCGTTATTCTCTTTACTTTATGTATATATACATTAGCATTTGCTTAACCCATCCGTACATATTTTACAAAACACTTATCTTAATATACATAGATCAAGCAATTAAAAAATTATTATTTATATTTGTTTTTTAATTAAAAATTTGTTTAATACGCCTTATCTGTTTCCTCTTTTGTTGTGATCCTCTTTTTCGTAATCTCCCAAAACTGTAACACCGTATACACCGTAATCTCTCAATTTTACGAAACACAATCTACATGGCAGCACCAACTGTCAAAAGAAAAAAAATTGTCCAATTCAGTTTTTCAGTTTAGAAAATTTCTTTTGGCAAAATAATAGCTTATTTTAATTAAATAAAAGAATTAAATATTTGAAATATATTTTTTATTTTTGCTTTGTATACTCGTAATATACTAATGAATACACTGAAGGCATTGTCAGGAGTCGTTGTACGCGATGCAATGCGTGGGAGTAGCTCATTGATCCTGTTGCAACATCAACAGCGAATGAACATATCAAGACGTCCAGTGAACAAGGCTAAGGCCGCTAAAGAGGTTGTTGAAGTACGTTTGTGATTTTGATGTAATGAAATACAAGTATAAAAACTAAAATAATCATATTATAGGAAACTTCCGATTACCCACATAAGGTTTTTTCGGGCATACAACCAACTGGCGCTTTGCATTTGGGTAATTATCTAGGTGCAGTTCAAAATTGGACTAGATTGCAGAACGCCCAGGAGGATGTATCGTTTTGTATTGTCGACATGCACTCCCTGACAGTGCCACAGGTAAGTTGCAATACATAATCTCTAAGCTAACCTCAATTTTCACATGATTACTGCACAAAATACGATATTTTTTCATACACAATGCTATGTAGGATCCCGTCACTTTACGAGAAAATATCTTTCAAATGGCTGCCGCCATGTTGGCATGTGGCATAGATCCGGACAAGTCTACATTATTTGTGCAATCAGCTGTGAAAGAACACGCAGAACTCTCCTGGATTTTGGGTTGTATGACAACTATGGCACGTCTCGGCCACCTGCCGCAATATAAGGAGAAGACACGCGCTGTAAAAGAGATACCATTAGGTTTATTCGTTTACCCAGTGCTGCAAGCAGCCGATATCATGCTCTACAAGTGAGTCGAAAGGTTTATAAAATATACAATATTTCTTTAAAACATTTAATTTCCAATTCGTAGAGCCACTCACGTGCCGGTCGGTGAGGATCAAATACAGCATATACAATTAACACAACATTTGGCACGCACCTTCAATGGTAAATACGGCAATACATTTCCAATTTGTCATGCCGTTCTGAGTGATAAGAATGCAGCGCGTATACGCTCACTACGTGATCCCAGTAAGAAGATGTCCAAATCTGATGTTGATCCAAAGGCGGTTATAAATCTAACCGATGATGCGGACGTTATCATAGAAAAGGTTAAAAAGGCTGTGACCGACTTCTGTTCGGATGTACACTATAATGCGGAAACACGTCAGGGTGTAAGCAATCTAATAACCATACATTCACTACTCTCCGGTAAGAGCATACAGCAAATTTGTGATGAAGCAAAGAGTATAGATACGGGCAAGTACAAGATGCGTGTTGCCGAAGAAATTGTCGAGCATTTACGTCCAATACGCAATAAAATCAATCAACAGCTACTGCGACGCAACGAGCTTGTCTATCTATTGGAGATGGGTGCTGAGAAAGCACGTGAAACAGCTGCTGTCACCTTAGCGGAAGTAAAACAAAAGCTTGGTATGGGTGCTTTGGCTAATATGCCGACACTGATAGAGCGAAAGGAAGAGGTAAAAGTCACGCCACAAGCTAAAAAGACTGTCGTAGAGACGAAAAAAATTGGCGATGTTGAAGTGCCTTTGGTGCCGAAGCAGCAATTGCGCGTCGAAAAGAAGCAACAGATGCGTGTTGAAATACAAACGAATGTGGATATGGATTTAACAGCACCGCCAAAGCTAGATGCTAAGACCATACCACCAGCCAGTAAACCAGCGGAAACATCACTAGTGGTTACGACAAAGGATTTGATACCCAAAAAACCGAGTGAAAGCGAACCCAAGATTGACAAGCAGCAAAAGGAGATTAAACTTTAGTAAATAATGTTGCTAAATTATGCTTAAATATAACAATAAGTTGTTCCTCTCCCCTCTTTGGTTGTGTGTGAAACTTTTGTGAGCGTGAGTGCATATAGGGAGAGCATGATTATTTAAATTTGTTGTGTCTTCTAGATTATTCTAGAGCGTTAATTATATTTTTTGCTTATTTTTATGTTTGAGAAATCATAAGAAGTAGCAAACATTAACTTGCTATTTCAGCTTTAAGCTAACAAATTAGAAAATGTTGAATATAATTAAATTTGAAAGCGGAAAATAAATTTGCGCTATTGTGAAAAAACAATATTGTTTTATTTAATCAAATGGAGAAACATAACACTGCCGCAAAAAATTAAATGCTAAAATAATTTTAAGGGAAAGAAAAATGCAAATTTTAACAGTATTCTTTTTTAATAGTTAAATGCAATATACACTAACCTTTGATGGAAATCGTTTTGAATCGAAACATATTACATATACATAAACACACATATGTACATACTTACATATGTATATTTTCGATTCCTTTCTCCTTCAGCAAATTCGTTACATATGTATGTACGTACAATATGTACCACTTTCAGACGACAACGCCTTTTTGATAACAATTGAAATGTTGCATCTGTGTCCTGTTTTTGTTGTTGTTGCAACAGCAGCATATCATCCGAAATACTATAGTATCTGTCTGCGTCCTCGTTTGCTACCTACTTTTGCACTTGCTATAAATATGTACATACATATGTGTAAATATGTATGTTCAAACATGTGTACTCAGTTTTTTCTCTCTGTAAAGTAGAGCGACAAGCCTACCTGTACGGCGGCGGTCCGATGTCTGAGTTGGTGTCATGGCGCAGATTTTATTAAATTAAAGAGAGTTTCTTACCAATGCACCAAAAGAACTCGTTTCCTCTCTTTGATTGCATTGTTGCTCTTCACTTTCGTGTAACGAAGTACACTACATTCGGTTATGACTTTATCGGTTTCCGGGCTTAAACTCACACCGTAAAATACTGATGGTGGCCTTGTTGGCTGAATCAAGTTTTGGAAGCGAGTGAAGTGATAGTATCAGTTTGGCGTCTAGGATCGAAAATCTGGAACAAAGTATTGTAATTTAATCCTAAAAAAAAATGTTCTCACATCCGGTTTTTAGTTTTGTACTCCTAAAGACCTCGTTAAGACGTCCAAAAAGTTCCCTATTGGATTAAAATCCAGAGCTTGTGTGAGACATTCCACAACTGAAACACGTTCGCTGCATAACCATCTCTGACCATTTCTGACGAGACGGGATCGTTGTAGTACATAAATCCCCTTTTTAAAGCCATCATTTAACTTATCCAGTACATTGTACCGACACCAGATGATGAGAAGCATGCCTGCTGAAGAGGCGACTAAAATCCAAAGTTCCCGCTCCAACTTTCTCGATCTTTATACCGAAAGGATCCGGGTTTATATCCTGCCAAGGACTGTCACTCCCGCAAAATTCCTCTAAAATCACTTTGGGGAATATTTTTTACGCAACAAGCAACCTCACACCATAATCGAGCCACCGCCATGCTTAACTGTTTCAAAGATGTATTTTGGGTTGAACTTTTGTCCTTCGGTATGCGTAACGTAACGCTTTCTGTTCGATCCAAAAAAATGTGTCTTGTTCTTATCCGATCAAGGCACTCTTCTTCTCCGGAAACTTCTGTCATTGTTGAATAGTTGCGAATCTGTCTGTATCTCCTCTCACACTTTCACGCTCAGGACTTATACTACCTGCGGAATATTCCACTTTTTGTATGTACCATAATAACCTTAAGAACACATGTTGACCCAACCGTTTAATGTAGCTCCTTACTAAGTCGACTTACGCCGAACACCTTACAAACTCAAAACACTCTCTTTACACTTAAGAGCTCCAACAATCCCCCGACCAAATACATCCACCACCCAATGTGCTACACACACATACAAACAAACGTCGACAAACAAGTCTGCTTGGCTGTTGAGTGCATTCATACCTCATACATATATACATACTTACACACGTATAATAGCCAGCCAGCCAACTAGTGTAGTTGACTTGCCCGATTTGCCGGACGGTTAATATCGTTGGCAACGAGAGATTCACAGTTTGCGTTAACTACTCAAAGCGTTTGGTGTTTTCGTTTGTTCGTCGGAAGTCGCGTGTGTGTGTCTAACTAAAAACAAAAACAAAAAAGGTAAATATTTCGGCAAATGCAACTGAGTGAAAAATCAAAAATTTCGCTACCAAATTTGTTTGATCACAATAATTTTTCATATGTGAGAAATCTGTTTTTAACAAATATTTGATAAAACAACAAATATCTTGTTAACAAGCGCTAAATTGCATGTGAGTGTGAGTATAAAACGAGAGGAGCCGAATTGCACGCGGTGACTTTGCTTAAAAAAGTATTCGCTACGAGTCTTTAACGTCAAAATCTTTAGTGAAAACTTCAATTATTTACAAAAAATCTGTTATTTTGTTAAAAAGAAAATTTTAGTGTTTGTAGTAAAGCAAGGGTTTGCATATTTTTTATGGTTTCCATGCATTTTTTCTCTTGGTTTTGAACGAAGTGGCTAACAAAGTGTAAAAAAGAATAAATTGCATATTTGGTAGCAGAGATTTCAACGTTGTAGATATGTATGCATATGTGTATATGTATGGACTTGTATGTTTGTGTTAAGTGAAAGCCGCATTTTTATGTTACGCATGTGGAGACATAAGAAAATAACGAGAAAAAAGATTTGAAAGTGTTTACATTTTTATTTAGATTATGTAAAGGCATTTTTTCGATTAAAATATTAGTAATATTGATTTAAAAATATAAGCGATTTTAAGGACAAAATTTAAATTTAAAAAATAGTATTAGATTTCAAAAGGGAAAGGTAAAAAAATATGAAAAAACAACAAAAAAGTAAAAAATATGACAAATATAAAAGAAAAATATGAAAAATATTAAAAAAATGTATGAAAAATAATTTAAAAAAATATAAAAAAGTATGAGAAGTATTTAAGAAAATTATGAAGAATATTAAAAAAAATATGAAAACATAAAAAAAAATATTGAAAATAATAAAAAAATATGAAAAATATTAAAAAAAAAATATGAGATATTTAAAAATATACGAAAAATATTTTTTTTTTAAATATGAGAAACATTAAAATATAGTAAATATAAAAAAGTTTAAAAAATAAATGAAATATATATAAAAAATATTTGAAATATTAAAATAAAATATGAAAATTATTAAAAAAAAGTACTTTGAAATAAATTTAAAAAATTTAACATTTTAATTAATAAATAGTAAAATTTTAATAAAAACGGAAATCATTATAATTTTTTATTTTAATTTAAGCTAAAGATCTGAAGATTTTTTTTTCAAATTCAAAAAAAAAAAAGATATTAATTTAATTCTTAAAGCCAAATTGTTAAAAATTAAAACCCTTTGGAGCACAAATTGTAACTTATTCTTTATTTATTATTACTATTTGGTAAAATAGGAATGACAATTAGAGTTAAAAAAAATATTAGAATATATTAGAAAATATTAGCTTTTTTCAACGTGAAAATGATTTTTAAAGTTCTAGTAAATGACTTAAAATATTTTTTTTTAATGCCAAAAATTTAGTTTTTCGATGTAATTAAAGTATTTTTTAGTAAAATTAAAAAAATAATAATAATTATTTTTTTGTATAAAGTGTGTATTAAGGTAAAAAATATAAAAGATATTTTTGAAATATGTAAAAAAATTGAAATTAGGTGGCTTAAGATGGTTGATTTTGAAAGTATATACAGTAAAATTTTAAAGAGTTTAATTCAGTAAATAGTATTAGGTTTTGTTTTTTGGAAATTTTTGTGGTAAATATATTTTTAAAACTATTTTTTTTAAATAAGAAAGAATTAAATGAAGGAATATGTATAAATAGCACATACATATTTATTTATGTATTTACTTATGTATATATTACCATATACTACATATGTAGGTATATGTATGTATATGTATGTACAATGTATTTTACATCAAATCGCAATTTTTCCTATTATTTTTTTTTGATTAAAAATTAGTGTTTTTAGAGTGCTTGGAATCAATTAAATTACTTTGTTTTTATATTAGTAAAGCAGACAAAAGTTAGAAACAAACAAAGAAACAAAAAACCCAAACTACTAAAAAGTGCAAGAAAAAAATAATCACTAAATAGCGCAAATTAAAAAAAAATTAATAATAGTATACAATATTTCGCATCAAAAATTCTCAAAACACAAACCACATAAACAAATTACTTAAAGAAGCAGCAACAATAAAGCAAAAACGCAATAAAAATATAACGATTAGTGCAACAACAAAATCAAAAGCGAAGAATATACCTAATAAATAAAACTAAAATTGGCAAAAAAGCAAAAAAAAAATACAAATAAATAAATGCCAGTACATAATGTATGCATATACGTGAAACAACAACAACAGCAAATTAAATCACAAAAAAAAAACAATTTAATAGACATATAATAAAGCAACAACAGTTCACTACCTTAAAAGTTGAAAAACTACCTGTTCACTCGCTCGCAACATTTAACCCAAAACTCGCTCCGGACTCTCTCCACAAGCAGATTGCTCAGCGTTTTCATGCTCTCACAGCTGTAGAAAAAAATATTAAACAAATTATATTTACGCTGCTGATCTCGACGCGGCTCCAGCAAACTCGTTTACGGGCGGATAAATTGATAAATTGTGTGTGCGTGTGTGTTTGTGGTTGTGTGTGTTTTATGAGAAAAGTAAAAATACTTAAAATAATAATATTAAAATAACTTAAAAGCAAAAAATTTCACACACAAATATAGAATAACAACAAATATTTGTATTTGTCGTTTACCAAGTGCAATAGAAACTTGTTAAGCGCAACATTTTTTTAAGCAGATAAGAAAAACATACATACGGTATGTACATTTCTACATATGCACAACAATAATACGCCCCCTCCCAAAGCAAGTAGTTGATGTCAGTGAATGTCAAATAGCAAAATTTCTGTGTAAATTTAAACAAAAAAAAAAAGAGGAAAAAATTGTAATATGCGCAAAGCAATGTGCGTTGAGTGAGTGCAAATACTAATTGTGAAAACATACATACATACAGTGTATTTCAAAATCAAAATAAGAGCATAGAAAATCGTATTCGAGTGAAGAGTGCGCCGAATTTGTAGTGTTCTCATCAACCATATTCTGGATATCTCCATATATTTTTGTTGTTGCTGTTTTATTTTCGTGTACGTTGCAAGATCAAGTTTTGTGCCTCTACCGTCGTATATGCATACATACTGATGTTTTTTTTTTCGATCATTCAAAAATTTATGTATGCACCCAAAATAAAACCCGTTTGGCGCTGATTCAATCGCAAAATTCACGGAAATCCATCTACCTGTGCAACTCTGTCTGCCCTCTGCGCTGTCAAACAAGCAGTGCAGCCAACTTCATTCTAGTTGCATTTGAAGCCGTTTTAGTTGAATAAGGTTTGTAGAATTTTCTATTTAAAAATCGTAAACAGTTGATTATAAGAAATTCATTAAGGAAAATTTAAGCTTTTCATCATTACAAAAGTCCACCGCGTAGTAAAATAATTCTCGTCAGGCGTTTCCAGTTTGTTGTGAGCAATGGCTGGACTGGCTATAACCTGCCTCCCTCCTATTATTAAAATCCCTCCTGAGCTGCAGAAGCATAAGAGCTGAGTGGAGTGTGGCTAAACTTCATAGGCTAACTTGCAGTGGTACTCCTCAGGGCGTCATTTAGACACCGCTACTGTGTTGACTCTCTGGAAAAGCTTGTTTTATGTGAAAAAGAAATTGTCAACCATAGTAATTACCACAGCTAATTCCCTCTGTAGGCGACATATGTTTCTGCAGTAGTGACATGCAAGATCCGGATCTATGATAGTAACTTGATAATGAACGCTCTAAGAGCCATACATCGATGTACGACTTGAAAGTAAAAACATTTAAAATGAAAAAAAAAAATACTCTTCGCTGAAAGCTGCTAGGCGCCTGCAAGGAAATTTCCGAGTATGAATGGAAAGCAGTTGATACTAAAGAACCATAACAAGTACCTTTTAATAAGATGATGGTCTGTTCATAGCGTTAAAGACCTAAACTTATACAATTGAGCTGGAAGTTGCCAAGAGCCGAAGAAGAAGAGCCGATAGAACATCCTATATGTATCATGCATTGCACAGGATGAGGTACACAACTATCGGAATTGTATTCTTGACAATATCTCGGAAGTTGTTCATATTAAACTATTTAACTTAATTAGCTTCAGTAAAACCGCAGCTTGGTTCAGAGAGTACAGGATAGTGTGAGAAAATTTCAGTTCAAGTAGTATTATAATAGGCTTCCTAAAAGCCTAGGAGTGTCGCAAGACATCCACTCTACCTACCAACACCTACAATGGTGGCACATACGACGGTAGTCAAACCAATTTCGCTTTGTGTTACTTTGGTGTGATAGACTGCGGCTGATAGAGCCCCTTATTATATACCCTTGGAAAGATGCACTCTACATGACGAGAGCGCTAAGAACTGCTTCAAAAGCTACTTTCGAGAGAATTGCCCAAGATAACTTATGTGCCTACACCTTCGAGTAAGACTTAATAATAAGTGCTAGATTGGCTTTATCTGTGAAATAAGTCTTAAGGTTATACTAGAAGGAGGCGATGGTACAGAAGCGATCTAACAACAAACAAATGGCTCATGCGAAGTGCCGAAATCTATTGCGATATGCTCAGAAATCTCAGAAAACCCTTCAAGCTGTGGAATAACTGCTGTGTTTACTACCCGGACGTCTTCTATGCGCATTAAAATTGATCGGACGATTTCCATTTCGTGCTTTAAGTAATAAATCGTCTCTGGACATTTGGCGTAGTACTTCTCCGTCCTGTTGAAACAACACATTGTCCATGTCATTCTCTTCAACATTTGAAAAAAACTTAATTTTTGAGCTCGATACGTTAACGTTCGCCATTGATGATAACGGTAGCTTCTTTCTCGTTTTTGTAAAAGAGCAGCTTAATGATGCCGCCAACCAATGAGAATGAACTGGCTTTTTTATTGTTTTTTGTGTGTTCCTGACCTCAAATCACTGCAGTTGTACTTGTTAACGGAGCCGTTGAGGTGATATTGAGCTGAATCGAAAAATACGATTTTTCGAACGCGAACGCATATTGTTTTGTCCGATAACGAACCAATTTGGCACACAAGCAGCACAAATTGATCCACAAACTGCCGGGAAGGCGAGATATTTTGGCCGAGCATTATATGGGGACTAATACACCTAAAGCGAGGGGATTGAGTCTTTTCTGGCAACTCGCACGACAGCCGGTTCTATCGAACCGAATTTTATCTCGCACTACCTTTTTATACAGCGTAGCGGTGATCCAGTGAATCCTTACCTAATCAGTGCTATGGTTTTCCTTTAGCTATTTTCCAAAAGCTTTTTTATAGAGTATTGACATGCATAGATTTGATAAATTAACTAATTCGGCTCATTAAAGTCTTTACCCTGGTACTCGGAACAAGTCAAACACATTTTGTTTGCATAAATTGCTATATCAGCCCTATCAGGCGCTTCTAGGTCGTCCTAAAATATAACTTATAAACGCCAAGAATGGAAATTATGAGTAATTTCGTTTGCTTTTACTCTCCTGCTGTGGGCGATTGCATCCATTTAACAGTTCTAATGGTTTCTTTTCCAAAAATACGGGAATGAAATATATTTCTAGCCTTTACCACACTCGCCCGAAAAACGTGTGAAACACACCTTACATCCTTACCCTACATAATAAACACAGCTTTTGGCAAAAACAAGTGGCTTACATCAATTGCGCCAGTTTTTGTGATTATTTTAAAATAAAACTTTATGTGTGTCAAATAAAAATTAGAGATTCATAAAAATGTGAGAAATAACGCAACACTTTATATTCATATTCATAAACAACACATAAAATTAATTAATGAGTTGTGCAGTACTGAAAACAGCATCAAAAAACGCTTGCCGGAGAAGATCAGCATATTCAAGTGATGTAAAAAATTTAAGAAATAAAAAGAAAAAACAAATGCAATGCAAACTTAACAGTTATTACTGTGAGCCATGCAAAAATCAAAAAAGAGAGGATAAAGTAAATCACACTGCAACGACTGAGCAAATGGTGGCACAGTGTAGCAGTGGTGGGGAGATGATGATGGTTGGTAGTAGCTAGATGTTGGTATTGGCCGGTACCAATTGGCGATATCGCCGGCAGCCACAGCCATATTTGTTGTAACCGGCAACAATCGAAGGCATTTGTATGTACATATAACAGTTGCAGAGACAAAAAAGCAGCAACAACAGCAAGGTGGCCAGTAAAACTGGTAAGAGGCAAGCGTTTGGCTTTGCTTTTGCCTGCTGCTGTTGCTGTTATTGCTATTTGTCGACTGTCTCTTGGCGGTTGTGCGACTCTAAATAAATTTTCTTGTCACATAAATATACATACATATATTCATATATTTTTTTTAACCGTCACCCATCGTTGCGCGCACACCAACAGGCATAGCCCCGATGGTTTGTTGGTGGTTTTTGTGATATAAGGTTTGTAATGTCTAAAAGTTGGTAGCTGTTTACCACCACAGAGATTGTTGCTACTGTTGTTCATCGTTGCCTGTCTATTTTCGTTGGTTTTATGTTTATCATTTCTCACTGTGCCTCTTCTCTTTGGATTGTGCTAGTCACCGAGGTTTTACTTTTTTGTTTTTGTGTTTTACGAATTGTGTTTTTCGTTAATTACAGTTGTAGTTTTTAATTTCTTTCGTTTTTGTTAGTATTTTCCTTTTTTTGTTGGTATATATATAATTTTTTATTTTCGCTCACGTGCAATGTCTTCACAGCTGGCCACAGTAGCACTAACTTTTTTCACAAAATTTTTCAAAAATTTTAGTATAGGGTGTTTATTTTTCAATATGTGGGCTTCGAGAAGAATAAAATTAAGAGAATTTAATATTCTGGCTAAGTATTTAGATTGATTATAAAGATGAGGGCTCGCCATTATGCTCTCAAAATGAACTCGGGCAAGTGACCGCCTCGGATGACTCGAAAAAACTCCAGTCCGATTTTGGACAAGTGTTTGCAGCAATGGGGCCGTTTTTCCGCAATAATACGCGTTTACTCTTCCAAGGCGTCAATCGTCTCGGGCTTAGCGGCGTAGACAACGGACTTCCCGTAATTCCACAAAAAATGCCATGCCACAGCCTGACGATAAAAGACAATGCGCTCACCAAAAGTGTCTCTCTATAAATCGATTTTTTTCTTGGCTGTATGTCATATTTGGCCGTCTGGTTGGAATTAAAGGTCACCCACATCAACTACCTCCAATTCGCGCACGAAAAAATGATTTATCATGACTCTATAATGTAGAAGTGAGAGCCCTTTGCCCATAGATCACACTAAACAGTGACTCTGAGGATGTAGATATCACTTAGCGTACCTCTTCAATCAAATGTGAATTTAGTCGCTGAACAAAATTTTCTTGTGAAAATCGTGATCGTTAGACGACTCTTTTTAGAACCATTCACCGAACTTGCGACGCGGCTGATGGCCGTTTGGCTCCTATTCTTGCCCGAATTCGATTTTGTAAGCTCACAAACCAAGATCCTACAGCAATATCTTCCATAAAGTGGATGGACACAGACCCATTTGTTGCGCGCTTTGGCGGATGGACTCATTTGGGTCTCCTAAACTCTGCTACACAGCAGCAATAGTGTCTTCGGTGTGCACTGTACGACATCTCTCACTATACGACGTCTCCTTGCTCGAATTACCGACGCTGCTGGACGATTATGTCATCCAAGTATTATATTGGAGACGCAGCGAGCGATGACGCATAGAGTAAGAAGTGGCAAACCATATGGAGTATAAATCAAGTAACAACATGGATGCTGAATTTTCCGACTGTTGTTCAAAGAATACCTTCTTTGTCCACCCTCGCCAAGCACAATTTAGACGCCGTGGCGAGGGCAGCGCTCATAAGTGTGTTCGAGACGCTCGTAAAGGCATCCTTGGCCACATCGTCCTTCTCTTCCATCGGGGCGTTGGCGCAAATCAGCGTGGTGTTAAATAATTTTGTTTTGATTCGGATTGAACGGAGTGATTGCCAGCACTCGGCGACGGAGTCTCTCTCCCACCATGAGTCTGAAACCAAGTTTGCGTTTCTTTAAATGGCTACTGTAGTAAATTTCACAAGGACCCAGCTTCTTTCGTCCTTGTCCCGTCCATCGCAACGGGTCTCTCATCCGAGGCATATTACTATTTTTAAATGGAGTTTACTTTTTATGTGGTGGGTCACAAACCCTACGCACAACCGCATGGCATTCGCCTTCTCACTTTAGCTGTCAAACGGATGTTTGTTGGCTACCCAGAGGATACTTGGTCTAAGATCGAAAGTCGTGAGCTGCTTGAACCATATGCAAAAGTGTCATATATATATAGAT